TTCATCTCCCTAATGAGTGTATAATTCAGTCTTGTTATTGTACTGATTAGTATTTTTCTGATTCTAGAGTTGCACACCTTTCCTTTTGCTGTACTGGCTATTTATCATCTTCTTGTGTCTACTTTTGAACCAAGTCCTTTGCATTGAGTTACATCCCCAGGCCTTTATTTTTTATTTTGAGACAGGGTTTTGCTAAATCGAGTCACCCAGGCTGGGATCAAACTAGCCTCCCAACATGCTGGAATTAAAATTGTGTGCAATGATGTGCTCAAAGTTGATCCTTTCAATGTACATTTCCTAAATGTTCTCTGTTTGCCAGGTACAGTCCCACTGTCCAGAAGGCAGTGTTGGGAAGGGGAGAACAGACACACAAATAGCTCACTTAGACTCCATGTGTGTGGTTAGTCCATTGGGAGGCATGCACAGAATATCACAAGAACTCAGAAGTGGGGTCTGCCATGCATCCAAAGTAGGTAGAGACTTCTTCGTCTTCATCTTCTTGAATTTGTACACAACTCCCAGCTGCCTCCACACAATTTAAAAAATTCCTAACATTCTAAGCACTGTATACATCTGAGCACATTTGATTTAATTCAGTCCTTATAACAACTCCTTTGGAGATGAGTAGAGTAGCAGAGAGGTCAAGTACCAAGTGACAAACATAGAATTTGGACCCAAGTCTGCTGGCACTGAAGCAAGTCCTGGAAACAGTGCTCCAGAATGCTTCTTGCTGACCCCCACAAACTCTGCTGGGGCTCACTCACCTGGAGGGGGGCATTTCTCCACAGGTCCTGCTGACAACCTTGGAGCTGGTTACCTCCACATGTCTTCAGTCCTGCTCTGCCTTCATAAGCTATGGTACACATGTCTTTCTGGCTTCTTCCCAGGCTACTGGGCAGTTAGGTCTTTTCCTCAGAGCCCAGATATCTCCTACTGCAGAAAGTTCATGTTATCTCCACAGCTGTCATCTCCATAGCTTTAGGGGCAGGAGTTCTTCACCTCTGATGCCTTCTTCTGCCTCTCACACAGATATTACCCAGTTGAACTCTGCCTCAAATTCTACCTTCTCAAGGAAGATAAACTCAGCCTTCAAAAGACCCAGTCATCTCCATTGTTAGGACACTATTAAATTGAATTATCATGTGCTGTCCCAAGAGATCTCTCTATATATTACCTTTTTATCTTTTATTTTGCACTTTATAATTTGGGTTTCTCATATAAAAGAAATCATGCAATATTTAAACATGTGTGTCTGATTTACTTCACTTAATATTATGGTCTCAGCATGCATCCATTTTCCTACAAATGACTCAAGTTTATCTTTCTTTATGGTAGAGTAGTTCTCCATTGTGTGTGAATACCACATTTTCTTTATCTATTCATCTGTTGGTGGACATATAGGCCCCTTCCAAGGTTTAGCTATTATGAATTGTGCTGCTATAAACATGGGTATAAATGTATTACTGTAATATAATGTCTTTAACTCTTTTGAGAAGATACCTAGAAGGTATCTTGTACAGCTGGGGTTCTTTTCAGAAAATCTTTGCCTGTGTCTATATTTTAAGAGTTTTATCTATTTTGTCTTCCAGTAGATTAAGTGTTTCTGTTTTAGTATTTAGATATTTGAGGGCTGGGGATTTAGCTCAGTGGTTCTGTCACCTGCCTCACAAGCACAAGGTCCCGAGTTTGACTCCCAGTACCAAAAAAAATTTAGATACTTGATCCATTTTTATTTTATTTTAATGCTTGCTGAGAGACATGGGTCTATGTCCAATCTTTGGCATGTGGATTACCAGGTTTCCCCCACACAATTTGTTCAGGAAGCTATCTTTCATCCAGCAAAAGTATTTGGCCCATTTCTGAATGTGCCTGGAGCTGTTTCTGCATCCTGTTTACATTGATTCACAATTTTTCCCCCCAATACCATTCTGTTTTTAATCACTGTAGTTTTGTAGTATGACTTCAAGTCTGGAATTATGATTCCCTTTGCATTTCCCTTGTTGGTCAGAATTGCTTTTGCTATTCTAGGTTTGGTATGGTTCCATATGAATTTTAGCATTGTTTTCTCTAGTTCTGCTTATCTAGGAACAGGGAATATCTTTCCATTATTTGATGTCCTATTTGATCTCCATTTACAAAGTACTGTAGCCTGGGGTTTATCTCAGTGGTGCCACCACCTGCCTCACAAGCACAAGGTCCCGAGTTCGATCCCTGGTACTTAAAAAAAAAAAAGTACTGTAGTTTTCATTGCAGAGGTCTTTCACGTCCTTAGTTATGTTAATTCCTAAGTATTTCATTTTTCTTGCTGTTATTATGGAAGGTATAGTTTTCCTGATTTCCCTCTCAGTGAATTTATTATTGGTATACAGGAACATGATTTTTGAGTGTTGACTTCATATCCTGCTATGCTACCTATTTTGGTTATTAATTCCAGGAGTCTTTAGGTGGAGTTTTTGGGGTCTTTTTTGTAGATGATCATGTCATCTGCAAATAATGATAATTTAACTTCTTCCTTTCCTATCCATATCCCTGTTATTTCTCTTACCTAATTTGCTCTGACTAATGTTTTGAGAAGAATATTGAACAGGAGTGGTGATAGTGGACATTTTTGTTTTGTTTCTGATTTTGGAGGGAAAGCTTTCAGCTTCTCTTCACTTAATATGATGTGGGCCATTGGTTTGTCATAAGATGGCTTTTATCAGATTAAGATAAAGACCTTTTACACCTATTGTCTTCAGGGTTTTTATCATGAATGGTTGTTGGATCTTGCTAAATGCATTTTCTGCATTTATTGAAGTGATCGCATGATTTTTGGCCTGGCTTCTGATTATGTGGTGAGTTACATTTATTTTTTCATTAAGTTTATTGGTACATTTTAGATATACAATATAATGACATTTATCATTGGAAATTTTCACCTTTACATGATATATCTTGGTTCTTATTTTTTTCCCATTCCTCTGCCCTCCCTTCAAGCCCTCCATCCCTCCCTATTTACAGAGACTTTGCTTCCATTTTTTCCTTTTCTCATATTTTTTCTTTTCCCTTCTTTCCTTTCCCCTACCCCTCACACTGCCCCTTCCCCTTTGCCCCTTTTCTTCCTAGTTCACATTATTGATTATATATTATGATTCATATTTACACTTTCAGTTTCTCACACCAGAGAAACTATTCAGTATTTACACATGTGTATTCTATTTATTTCACTTAAGAGTATGGCCTCAATGTGCATCCATTTAGCTATAAATATCTCTAATTTTGCATTTTTATGGCTGAGTAGTACTCCATTTTATTAAAAAAAAACCCCACACACATCTTCTTTATCCAGCCTCCAGTTGATGGGCAATTGAGCTGGTAATTCTCTTTTTTAGTTGGATCCTTTTCTGGTTTTGGAATCAGGGTAATGCTTGCTTCCAGAAATGATGTTGGGAGTACTGCTTTTCTTTTGGTTTCATTAAGGAGTTTGAAAAATATAAGGAATATTGATGTTAAATGTTCTCTAAAATTTTTGTAGAATTTGGCCTTGTAGAATCCCTCAGTACCTGGGCTTTTCTCAGTTGATTGATTTTTTAATTACCTCTTTAGTATCATTGATTGATATTGGATTATTCAGCATTTTTCTTCTTGGTTCTGTTTTGGTGGCTCATAATTATCTGACAGTCTATCCATTTCTTTTGAGTTTTCCATTTTATTAGAGGACAGGTTTTCAAAGTAGTTATCAATAATCTTATGGATTTGGGCAGAATCTGTTGTGATTTTATCTGCTTCATTTCTCATTGCATGTATTTGGGTCTTTTTTTATTTTGGTAAGGTTGATTTAAGGTTTGCTTATTTTGTTTAATCTTTCAGAAAACCAACTTCAGTTCATTGGTTCTTTGTATTGTTTTTTTTATTCTCAATTTCATTAGCTTCTGCTCTGATCTTCATGATTTCCTTCTTTGTACTATCTTTGGGTTTGGATTGTTTTTGTTTTTCTAGGGCTGTGAGGTGTATCAGTAGGTTATTTATTTGAGTTCATTCTGTTTTTCAAATATAGGAATTCCCTGCTATAAACTTTCTGCTTAGGGCTCTTTCATTGTATCCCATAGGTTTCAGTATGTCATACTGGTATTATAATTTGATTGTAGAATATGTCTAATTTCTTCCTTAATTTCTTCTATGACTCACTGATTAGTCAAGAGGTATTGTTTAATTTCCATGCATATGTATAGTTTCAGTGGCTTCTTTTGCCATTGATTTCTAGTTTCATTGCTCTATGATCTGATAATGTGCATGGGATAATTTTGATTCTTTTGCATTTACTTAAGCAAGTATGGGCTAATATGTGGTCTATTTTGGAGAAAGTCTCATGTGCTGGTGAGAAGAATGAGTACTTTGTTGTTGTTGCATGAAACAATCTGTAGATACCTATTAAGTCCATTTGTTCAAAGGTTTGG